CATCCAATTATGCCGCTCGCTCGTCTGTTTGGCAGCGGAAAAAAAGCAAATCACATACAAAAGGGACATGGCTGCGGAGAGAGATGGGAGAGCGGCTGCGGCCGCGCGGGATGAAATGAGAGATTGCCGAGCGAAAGGGAATAGAAAACCGGCAGATTGGGGCGCCAGGCGGCCCGGCCGGAGGGATTTTAATTTGATCCGCGAAACAAATCATTTTATACAGAAAACGTCCTCTGGTATGAGCAAAAAAGGTCATTGGCGCAGGGCCGATATGGGGGAGAGGAGGAGTAGAGGGGGTTGGGGGTTGCTGGGGGTGCCAGGTGGAAGGGGCTCACCGCCACCCAGCCCAGCCCTCCCCCGCTGCAGACGTTGATCCAATCTGCAGCCCCGATACAATTTGATTGCGTTTCGTTCTTCATCATCTTCCTTTGTCTTTGCCGCCGGTCCGCCATACTCCCCTTTAGGCCCTCCGGTTCCAGTACCTCGCACAACTTCTCACATAATACACTGTAAATGCACCTCTTTTCTCATACAACGCTACTGGGCATTTTTTATTCTGCTAGTGCGACGGTATTGAAAAACAAACAACTGAAACCCACGCCCTAGTTTGTTCACTCCCCCGTGTCTTCCGGTAGGCCCTCCTCCTCCTCACTGACACGAGAGGACCGTGCAGCCTGTTATCTCCCCCAAACCCAGCCGTCGGCCGACTATATGGGAGTTAGTGGCTCATTTCACGGCGGTCAGCTCCTCAAAGGAGGGCGCCATCTTGGGGGGCGTCGCTGCTGCACCCGGCCCGTCGGGCCCGTCGGGGCCTTGGTGGGCCTGCGGGCTGCGCGGCCTGCTGGTCCAGTTGTCCCGCCGCTGCCGGTACCACAACTGCTACCCGTGCCCCCCCCCCCACCCCCCCAATTCTGCGGCCGGTGAAGCGGGGCGGGGGGTGGTGTCCACTTGCAAAGACTCGGTGTCAGCCCCCACCCGCCGCGCCCGGCCCGGCCCCGCCCCGTCCCACCGCACCGCGCCACGCCTCACCCGACGAGGTCCTCTTGCCTCCTCCTCAAAGACGAGCATCGGGCGAAACGCCTTTGAATTTGAGAAGGGCCTAATTCCTCAGACCGTCGAGTCGGGACCATCGGGGACCGGCGGTGCGGCACCGCACTTTATCCACTTGACCGGGCGTGGCGTGGCGTGGCGTGGCGTGGCGTGGCGTGGCGTGGCGGGGCGTAAGCCGCACCGACTGCCCGTAGGGTAGGGTGGCCACTCGTCCCCCGCGAACACCGTGGTACGCGTCGACTGAAGCGGAGGAGCTCCCCGTAGGAGTATACTGTACCGTCATGCACGCGTGTGGGAGGGTTGCCTACCGCCAAGGCGTCATGGCGAGGCTTCTGGCGTTAACTACCTGCCCGCCTTCTCGCTTAGGAAATTTGAACGGTTTGTTCAGCAGCCACCCTTCACTAGCACTAGATCGAGTCCCAACTAGAAGATGCATTCGAGCCTCTTGGCATTCTCCTGGTGTGTGTGCTGGGAAAGGTAGGAGGAGCCGGAGGAGGCTGCGTATTTTTTACAGCCAGCTTGTCTGCTCGTACACCTCCGTCGACCGCGAGGGGCCTCCTGAGTTGGGCCCGGCCCGCCCTGCCCCTCGAGGAGTTGGACACCCTATAACTGGGGACCTTCAGCCCCCGAGCGGCGCGATGACCACTAAGCACGGACACCTCGGCCCCTCCGCCTGGCTGGCCCGGCCCCGGCTCGGACGACCCGAGACGCCACGCCCTGCCACGCCGGGCGACCCTCTCCCTGGGCTCGACCTATCCGTCTCAGGCAAGCCTTTTTGATGGTTGGGCGACCGTAACTTAAGTCCCTGAGCGTCTTTGCATAGCCTGATGAGTGGTCGAGCCTCGCTCTGCTGACGGAGGGAAAGGAAAGTGAGGGGGTGGGCGGGGTGGGTCGGAAACAGAGTCCGGCGGTGGCGGCACGGGCAGCAGTCCTTCACAAACTCGGCCCTCCCCCTCATCACCGAGGACAGAGGGAAGTGCGGGGCAGGGCTGGGCTGGGCGGCGGCGTCCAGCAGGTGCACGGCAAAGCGCGCGCCCGGCCCCGGCCCTGTCGAATTGTGATTGGCATAAGAAGACGGCTCCCCCCCAATCTCTCTATCTCTCCTGCTGGGATGCTTGTCCACCCGGATGAGGAGGCCACCCTGCCGCTAAGGCCCTCCTCGTGGTAAGCCCCCCGGTGACCAGTGAATACGGGGACGAGAGAGAGAGAGAGAGAGAGAGAGAGAGAGAGAGAGAGAGAGAGAGAGAGAGAGAGAGATGCGCCAGCAGTTCTTTGCAAATTGGCAGCTGCCTTCCCTTCGTCTTGTCCATGTGCACCGCCACCGGCGTCCTCCGACGTCCTCTCGTCGAGGCGGGCGGACCAGGTTGTTACGTACTGCCTGCTGTGTGGTCAGCCAAGCCCAAGCAATAAGCAATGGCCAGGGGGCGGCAGTTGTTAGACGAGTCGCCGTGGGGCCCTGCAAGCGGTAGCGGCTGCGACGCACTGGGGTAGGCCGAGCCGCCGAGCAGCTGTGTGGAGCTGGCGGCCTAGCCTGACTGAGCACCAGTAGTGCAGTGCAGCGCCTGACCCCCAGTGTGGGCCCACCATGGGGCAACCCAACTAACATCTCTCTCTCTCTCTCTCTCTCTCTCTCTCTCTCTCTCTCTCTCTCTCTCTCTCTCTCTCTCTTCCCTCTGTATCGCCTTGTGTGAAAAGAAATGCACACCACTTCGAGATTATGTGAAAAACATTAATACAGAAAAATCTGACAAATTAAAAATAGT